CCGAGTCAGAGCAGCTGAGATTCAGAGGAGCTGAGAGTCAGAACAGCTCCGAGTCAGAGCAGCAAACACTGAAAAACTGCGACTAAAAGTGCTGCGCACGTGATCAGATCAGTTTTTGGGGAAGTAGCTGATTCGATTGTTCGCAGATGAGCTGCTGGTTTATCTTAGCAACGCTCCGATCTTTGCCATATATTAATCTCCAATTAGGTGCCGAGGGTTTTCCATTCATTCCACATTTATGCGCCTTCTTCCAAAAAATAGCGATCCATGGTCGACCGGCAGCCACCAGGGGGCGCCAAGCAGATTAACACTCTTTGGCTACCAACCTTTACGCATTCAGGAAAGATCTGACAATTTGAAAAATATTCAGATACGATTTTCTGGCGAGAATCTAGAGGCCTGATTGAAGAGAAGCTCGTCGAGCTCAAAGACGACGGTTTGATCCGGAACCAAAAACACCGCGGGGACCAAAACTCAACGTTGGCGCCTGGCGAGGAGTCTGAGCTCAATGATGGTGGCGTCTCACGGCTGACCTCCTACCCCCAGAAACCGGCGATGAATATTTACACGCATGTTCGCAACTAAACATAAAGCAAGATGAATGTTTGGAGCTCTGACTCCTCAAAGATTAGAAACATATTAAAAATCCAAATGATTTTCTATTTTTGATCTCAACATTTTCAATGTGACACATTTTTAACACACACTGAATTGTACTTTTTCATCTTTTAACAAAAAAAAGGAACAAAACCATACAACATATTTCTAAAACACAAAATAAAAGACCGTCTACATGTAAAAATATAACTTTTACATACACAGTTTCAAAATAATGGTAAAGTTTGCAATTTTTCTTGCATACAATTTACAAAAGTCAGTTGTGGCCTTGGGCATGTGGATGGAGGTCCCGTGTTTTTGTCCTGTGCAGGGAGCCGTAGCTGCTGTCGCTTCAACAACAAACAATACGAACATTTCTAACACTGAGGGGCGTCGCCCGTCTCTGCCAGTTAAAAAAACAAAAACTCCTCCGCTGAATCAAACACTGATAATATCAATAGAAACCAGGAACGGCGCCCTCCTTATATATCCTATATACTTTTGTACATTTCTATATAGACTGATTTATTCAAATAGATTCTTTTCCAGTTTCCAGCCGCAGGGATTCGATTGGTCGACGTCGATCCGCCGACGGAGAACGCCGCTGCTTCCATGGCGATTTCTGTTCTTTAGTTTTACTTTTTTTTACTTTTTTTTTTTTTTTTTTACAGTTTTTCTATCAGACATGGAAACCGAAACAAAAAGCATCAGAAACAAAATGTTTAAAAAAAGGAAAAGGGTGAAAGTGGGGAGGAAAAACAAAGTTTTACGACATACAACCACACACTGTACTGAAGACTACATTGGCTCACAGACAAGCCGATCAAATATTGATAAAAGCTATAATACAAGAAGAGACGCGTCGTCCATCTTGGACAGAGAGGAGGGACCAGAACGGGAACCGGGGGGGTTGGGGTTAGGGGGGGGGCGTCTATCCCAGAACACACCGTCTAATTACATGTTAGCGTACAGTACATTAAATACAGGATACTTTTTTATCCAAAAAAATACTTTTTTGTCCTTTTTTTTTCTCTTTTTTTAAATTCCCAGGTCTGGTAAAAAACCTGACTGCATAGAACCGAACCTCCAAGCTTGCATCCTATGAAAAGACCGGATCAAAGTCCTCCTCTGTGATATGGACTCTAAGAAAGGCACGTCGGTAGAATCGAGAATGTTCAGATTGCATCTGTGGGAGGGAGGGATGGGGGGGGGTTCTGGTATCAGTCCAAACTGGGACGGGTCGGTCCAACTGGGCTGAAAGGAGGCTTCCAGACTGGGATCTCTGCTTCTCCAAACACAGATTGGTTCCTAACGACCTCAGACGGCGACCTGCTGGGTGTATTACGGACCAAAGAGTGAAAGAACCAAACGGTTCCCATACGGTGAAACACAGAACCATCAGGTTAGTTCTACTGGGCCCAGGAAGCGGCGGCCGTGGCCCCAGTTGGACCGTCTCAGGCTGCGATCCTCGGATCGCCGCTCCTGGAGCGAGAAGCTGAGATCCAGACGGACGTATCCGCCTCAGGAGGCTCAGCTCAGCAATGCTAACCAGGCTCTGTGACCCCCTCCATGTGGAGGAGCAGCAGCTCTACTGCAGGAAGCAGGTGGGCCCCTGTAGGGGGCGGACCCTGACCCTTCCTTCAATCGGTTTAACTCGTGTCGGGACGATTACCTCGCCGCTGAGAAGTTCTCGCTCTGTTCTGGAACTCCCCGTCTGGAAGCCTCCTTCCTTTGGCGGGTGGGCGGATTCGGATCAGAACCGGGAGGGGGTGGGGGATCACAGCAGCGTGACACGGGAATGTTTGCCCCTCGGAGTGATGGCAGACCCCTCGCCCCGATGATTGTTCCCTCGCTTCCTCTGCAGTGCCGCCATGGCGAAGGGTTCTCCATCGTCTCCGTGGTTCTGCGGCCCGGTGCGGTTCTGGGCCGACCAGACGTTCGAGCACTTGATTCAAGTAGCGGCTCAAGGAATGTGATTCCTGTTGCGGTTCAGTCTCTGACCGTCGATGAATCGCTCGTCTGTCAGCGATGCGTCGTCATAAGCTCCGCCCCCTTTCCTAGCTGCTTCTCTGGTTCTGGTTTCACCTCCATGTCAGAGTTGGTTCTGGTTCAGTTCCTCTGTGACCGTCACTATCCTGTCGGGCCGTTTGGTCGCTAATTTCCAGGTTTCATCAACAAAGACATCAGTTTTCAGGGTGATTGAATCTGCGTGGATTCCAGCTGAAGCAACGATAAAAAGCAAACGCTCCGTCGGCTGCAGCTGGTCGCTTCTCCTCCTCAGCAGGAGGTTTTGTTTCTCCAGATCCCGTCAGTGTGCGTTAATCCCAGAGGTCAGGCACCACTTTGTCCACAGTGGGGTGATAAGCTGCGTTCAATCACTGCGTTCAAAGGCCGCGTTCGATCGCTGCATTTAAAAGCTGCAAACTAGC